TTATTATTATTATTATTATTATTATTATCATTATCATTATCATTATCATTATCATTATCATTATCATTATCATTATCATTATCATTATTATTATTAATATTATTATTATTATTATTATTATTATTATTATTTTCTTCTTTTGGAAATTTTGAGGAGGCTAATGTTTAGTGAAAAACCGGACAGGAGTGTGTTTTTTCTTTTTTATTATTTCATTTTTATTATTTCATATGGTTCAAACTTCATTTTTGATCACCATCACCTTATCAGGTTAAATATACCGGTAAACAATACAACCAAAAGGATTGAAGATATTTTGTATTTTTTACCAAAAAAAAAACTTCCACTTAGTATTTAAATTAAAAGAGAGTAAATATGTCATTAATTAAATTTCAACATCGAAATAATTTTCAGTTATAACTTTCTCTTTTTAGCATAGGCCTATCTCTGGTATCAAACCGTATTCATATCATTACAAAATAATGCAGTGTATCTTCTTATTGAGTTGACCACTTTTTTTTTTAAAGAAGTGAAAATACGACAGATTTGTCGGCATATATTACTTCAATGAATATATGACGAAGAATCAAAAGTCACAATGAACTTAGGATAATCAACAATGTAACAAACAAATGAAATATATATAATAAACATTTTATTGGTTAATGTAATTTTTTTACGGTGTTTAAGGCTGTAGGTAGCGACGTCCCTGCTCTATCGCTCGGCCACTGAACTCACCCCTCGGATGCTCTGGGGCGGATGCAGGATTTGGCAGTAGGGGGTGCGTGCAGAAATTTAAAGTGCCTCTGCCACTTATTCTGACAATTTCTATCAATTACAGCGTGTTCGTATTTATAAATATATTATAAACACAAGTGTTGGTCATATATTACGAATAAAATAGTCCGTATTACTTGTTATTATAATTCACTTTTTGAGAAAAGCTACTTATTCAGCGCACACTCACGCATCTGGCTTTGTATATTTAAGAAGTTTTTACGCTTACGCAGATATATTTAGGCCTAATACAAATTCGTAAAATATTATAATGAGCCATTATCCTTATTATATATTTTTCGGTACAATTTCTTCCTTCTCCCTGTATCCTTTATTATATAAAAACATTTTTAACACTAACAGTATATTTGCTTTATCATTATGCCTCCGAACCCGACCAATACATATACTATATGATACTATATGATCATTTGTTTCACATTTAAAATGTTTTTTTATATAGGCTACAACCAATAAATAGTTTTGTTTAAGACGTAAACATAGTATTCTTATTTTTTAAATATTTTATAATATAAATATAAAAATACATTTTAAATTATATATAATATACATTAGCTAAGTAAAACAATAACTTAAACGTAGACATAATATTTACTACAATAATAAGATTAGCATTTTCAATCTTATAACTAATTTTATACAGCCGGAGTTATGTATTGACTTAGGCTACTATGGCTAACGACAGGTAGGCCTACGCTTTTACCATAAAGCCTGTTTCTATGAATGGAATGACCTGTACGAAGCATGAGCTCCTGTAGACCAAACCAGTTGTGGCGCTAGAATTTACCAGACCGGGGGTTTGAGGTCCCGAGGGGGCGATGCCCCGACGAGGGGGCGGATTTTCCCCACGAGAGCAAGGTGGGCGTGTCTGAACGTCGCTTAAAATGTTTCTAAAGATTTAGGGGGTTTCAAAGGCTTATTTAATCGATTTTAGCGTCTACTAATATGTAGAAAATACATAGGCCTATATTTCTTTCTCCCCGACGAATTGTGGTTTTCCTCCCCGGGGGGTGCCCGGAAATTGCACTTTCATGTACCTTAAAAATCTTACCAATAATTCATAATAACAATATAATACAACAATTAATTTTCTTAATACAATTTAGTGGGGGTGCGATCGCACTCTCTGCAGCCCCCTAGGCTTGGGCATCTATAAGGAAGTCTATGCATCATTAGTTTTTTTTTATCATTTTGTATAAAGCGATATGAAACCACTGGATGGGTTGTTAGATTTTCAAAACGTGTGTGATTGGTTAGGAATAATAATTTTCATGCAACTAGGACAAAAGCAGCAATCTTTAATTCTATTGCTAACTATTGTTATGAAAATGTACGATAAACATTCATTTGGAATGCAGAAAAGTGTTCTTAACTGGAGAAGGACTATATTTTGTATAAGTTGGCACGTGTTGAAAAGAATCTTGTAAATCGATAGGCATTCATTTTTCCCATTTCGTAGTCCCGGTTTTAGTCCTATTTTAAACTGTTTTATTGTTTTCTCATTTTTTTTATAAATTTTATTTTCCCAATGAGCCTGTCATTCTCTCCAAGCACTATAACAATCTAACCTAATAACCTAACAAACTAATGATATATAAGTGATATTAGTCATGAAATCAAATTAATTTCTCTAAATTACGGAAGTTTGTTGCTAAAAGGCTCAACGATTGTTAAATCCTGAGTAAATAAATGCTCATACCGTGGTTTGTTTTTTTTTTTTGAATCATTTATTTATTAGAAGATTTCAGGAAAAACAGAAATACAACAAAAGCCCTCTTAGGATAATCAAAGGTGAAGAATACGCGAGGGATCTCTAAGGCAAACATAAGAAAAAAAAAACAGGATTAGAACATCAAAATCAATGAAAATACCAAAATAGTAGATTCTGTAAAAAGTATTTAAAAAAAATCAAAAATACATTGAATAAAATATATTTAGGTTTCAGAATATTAGAAAAGATAGACAGTAATTATAGGCGAATATTCAATAAAGTTTACATTTCATTCAAATATTAATTTAAACAACTACAAAATATTATAAAAAGCAATTAAAAATTCCCTTCGATCAAAAACATTCATTCAATAAAAAATTCAACAAGACTACAATTTATGAGCAATTCGTTACACACACACAAAAAAAAGAAAAATCTTTCATTCAATAAATTACATCAACATTAATTAAATTCGATTAATTATTTACATATCATTCAATTATAAAATGAACTACAAATATATAATTAATTAGCCATTTCTAAAAATATTTACGAACCATTCAATAATCAATTACAAAAATATACTGTACAAATCAATTACCGTATTCTACCTAACTACAAAAATAACATTTAATAGCAATTCATTCCAATTATAAATACAATCAATATTTTTTTAATAATTTATTATACTTTTTAAACAAATAATAAATACAAAAAAAATCCCCTAGAATAATTCCATATTAGGCCTACAATAGAATAATTTAAGAAAAAGGACAATTCATTCATTCAATTAAATTACAAATAACATAATTACAAATAACATAATAAAGATAAGTAATTTAACAACTAACTCAGTGAGAACAAAGCAGTGTTGCTGACGTCAGGAGGAAATGAATTAAAAATTATACTGAAATGATTAAAAAGTGTTCGTTCTCTTAAAAGTTTCAACAAATTTAAGATCATTTAAATATCTGGAGTTCATACTGATGTAATCAGAGAGATCAGGATTAAGAGAACCAGGACATTTGATATAAAACATGGTTCATGGATGGAATATTTAGTTGCTATTTTTTAGTAGTGCAAATTGAGATTTAGAATACGAAATTATATTATTTTTATCGATCTATATGAAGGCCCACTAAGCCTCTATTGATTATTTCGTTTTCTATGATTTTGATTACAGGCATTGTATTCTCTCTCAATCTCAAGTCCAGAATCTTTATTAGGCATTCCTTCATACTATTCAAATGCGCAGACGCTTTCTTCACATCGTCTTCTGATAAAGCTACCCTAGCCTGCATATAGAACACAAAGACGACTGGATGCAGATGAAACGTAGGACCGAATACAATTGCAAGTTTTTGCAACTTTTTATCAGCAGCCCATGAACTTAGGGACAGGTGCAATGTATTCTTTATTTCTATATTTATATGCCTATTCATGGTTTCTTGGTTGATAAATGGCATTTGAGGTCCAATGGTTTTTAGTATTTTGTTTAGAGTTTCATGATCACCAGTCAGATAATAGTATTTAGCCAGCAGAATTATTCCACCCTGTGTGCGATCACTCCATTTGTCAGGAAATACCATTTCAGCTCCTAATTCATAGTACTGAATCGGTTTATCCTTGTAACGGTGTAGATCACTCCCAGCCACAGCGCCATATTTGTTTCGCAAGTATATCAATAAATATGTATAAACATCACCTAGATATCTAAGCAAGTGCTGTTGGAACATCAGTTTATATCCATCCGGCACTAGATCATCTAACATATGTATTATCGGCATTATAACTGACTCTGGAAGATCTAAGATCTTGGAAGTTTCAGCCTTAAATTCAATAAGGATGTGGAGTTCCCTGATTAAACTGGGAAACTCGAGTGAAAGCCATTTCACAATGTTCAGATATTGAAATTTATCGTGAATGTAGTCACCGGGTGATAGCTTGCGAATTACATTTTCAAGCTCTTCCTTGGCCCTGGGGTGACTCAATAGATTGGTCTCCAGTTGTTGATGGCTATCACCCTCGCCGACTTTAGCGATCCCTAGTTTATCACACATAGAGTTGAATATTTCCCTCTCGTAAGGACTATTACCAATACATGACATCACCATTTTCCAAAGACTTGGACCATTAACTCTTTTTAGCTTTTCTTGCACTTCTTCACATACTTTCTTTGGTAAATGACCAATCAAATTTTGACTGGGGATAAAATAATGCGGGAGGTTTTCTTTCTGATAGCATTCTATCAGCCAGCTAAGTAATTTTCTAATCAAATCCATGATGTTGTAATCTTCATGTGGAATAGATTCATAAAGCCACAGGCAAGCGGTCTTAAGAAAATAGGAACAAAATGGAGTTGGTTCGTCAGACTCCTCTTCACTGCTAATGTACATTCCTTTGAGTGCCTTCAACGTAAACAGACATGTTGGTAGTGATCCATTCATATCCTGAAGGAGTTCTTTCTCTGCTACGGAAAATGACCATCTCCATTCGATATCTCTTGAAACACTACTTGGGTGTCCAACAGGAACAACCAAACAACCAGCATTTCGAATCTTTTCTAAAGTTTTATTTGGCCATTTATTTAGCCGTTCTCTAGTAAAAAAAAACTGTCGGACACAGAAGGCCATAAGTTGGATTTTAAGCAAAGGACTGCATCCATGGTATGCGCAGCTGACGACCGTAGATTTTGGAAAGTAAATGCGGGGCCGTGAATTTGGATATCACTCTGGTTATCTGACATAGGCTTATGGACCTTTAGAAAATCAACAGTATTCAGATACTTATCTTTATCAATTGCAGTTTTGACTGTGTCATGTAAACAGTCTATATCTACGGCTTTAAGTCTCAAATACGCTGGTTCCCTTACAAACGTTTGTTCTGCTATTACATACCCCCACTTAAACTTCTCTTTTTCTTCCGGAGGCTCGAACTCAACAATTGGAAATACTTTATGACTCTCCATCTGGTCCTGATCATTGCAAGACGATTTATTTATTCCCTCATAAAAACTTCCTGTTAAATGGACACACTCGAAATGATTAATTCTTCTGGATAAACTGTACAACATTTCTTGCTCTATTCTAACATAAGATATCTGAACCAACCTGTCAACAGTTTTCAACGAAATGGTCGTATTGGCAAGTTTCTCCATCGCCCGTGATACTTCCGTATTGGTACTGCTTGCCATGATTATTGGTTTGAAAAGGCGTACCGTTCTGTGTTGATCTACTCAAGAATATTACACACAAGCTGGATTTGTTAGTGATCTATCTGAAATAATTTAAACGTAAACGTCACTTTATATTCTATACAATTAGGTTATATCAAGGAGGTATTATATCTCCTTGGTTATATCTTCCCGAAATTATTAGTAACTAGAATATACATTAGAGTCAATTTTAATGGTAGGTACATTACATTTCTGAAAACTAGGCCTACCATGTAGCATCATTGATATATCCCTAGCTGTATTATATTTGTCAGTATACTCTGATAAATATACATACCTAGCATACTAATCATCACTATTAACTTACCTTAGGTGAGATATCTAGCGAGGTTATGGTTTTTAGTTGTGAATTCGGTAAAAGCCATGTTCACATTCGGTCTAACGTTTTCAGTTTTCGACTGATCACTGTATACTCTGCACTGTTCAAAGGTTACGATGTACAGTAGTACTATAATAAAATCAGATAAACGATTAGAAACTTCCAAATAATGTCAATCCAATCTGTATGCTGTGTACATGGTTGAAACATGGAGGAAATGAATAAAGTAATAGCAGGCCTGGGTCATAGGTTAATGACCGATTGTGTTCAAACCATTCAGTTACCATTCGTTTACAAGCTACCGTACAAACCGACTATATTCACGAGAACTTCAGACAAAGTATCCAACAAAGGTTCACTAGAGTGATTACAAGAGGTTAATTTCAATAATTGATTTAAAAGTTTTAATATTTTTCTGGAATTAGTATACATTATATATATCATATATGTATATATATATGTATATATATGTATATATATATATATATATATATATATATTATACACTACATGATAACGTCAGAAAGGATAGAAATTTTCAACTGTTTTAATCGAGAAGCATATATCAGTATAACAATATGACGTATTCCATATCAAATAAAGTTCACAAATGAGTCTGTACTTAAGTATTTTTTGTTGATTAATTGTATTTAAAGTTTATTATAATGGTAGATTAGGCATTATAAGCCAGGATCGCAACACTATAGCCTACGCTGTATGGTCTACAGCGTGATGTATATCGCAAGCCCCACCTGTCTTAAGCCTATAAAAGTTATATTATTTACGGTTGTATGTAACCCTACAAAAAATTTACATTATTTACGTTTGGTATTATATTATTTACGTTTATACGTATTTTAGGTACGTTTATGATTACATTATATACGTTTATTATTATATTATATACCGTATGGTTTAATATTATATTATATGATATACGTTTATAATAATATAATAAGCTTAAATGATATAATAATAACGTAATTATATAATACTAAACGTAAACCGTGTTTCTCTCGTTTTGCAGTCAAAAGATTGTTTCCTTGATATTAGTTTTTCCTTGATTGTGTTGTTCCAATGGAGGGGTTTTACTGTATTATCCAAAAATACCCTCAAATTAAATATTATTGTAAACGATAGATCATTCGCCTTTAACATGATATGGGTATATTATTATCATTTTCTGATTATTGTTATCATATTATAAGGTTTGAGACTGAGTGATGCAATTGTAGTAAATATAGGGATACTGATAATTTTACATTTATGTAGATGTTGTGTGGATGTGAAGATGATGATAGTGATGATGACGAATGATCACAATATTAACAATATAGTCCTAAGCAAGGTCATCCTACAGACCAGACCAGTAACTAACTGTTCTACTTAGCCAAGAAGCAGCACAGGGGAGCTGGGAGCAGCACATCTGGGAGCTGCACATTTCTAAGATGACAGTGGTTCCACTTTCGCTGCTCCCTGGCTCAACTGATTATTCTTTGTTTGTGAATTTCTGATTTTTTTTTCCTTTTTTTGTATTTTAAATGTTTTATATTGTTAATTGTTTTTGCCAGAATGAATATAATAAAATAAGAAAGGGTGTAACGGAAAACTATCTGAACAAAATACAATTCGCTTTAAAACATGATTGAGGTCAGCAGTCTGCAATAATACCGTAAAAACTCGAATTGAAGCCCGGGGCTTCTTATTTTGTTTTCGTTTTTGCTTTCTTTTTTTTTGTTTTTTTTTTGTTTTTGTTTTTGTTTTGTTTTTTGTTTTACTATAAAACAATAAATGGGGCCACTAAACATTATTCTGTATCATGGAATGTATTAACCGGCATTAAATCACCTAAACTACTGTATAAACCAAGCATGTTTTTAATTGATTTTGTCTCTTTGAAATTCATGTACAATGTATGTAGGCCTATGGTACTATCTCGAAAAGAAGACCATGGGCTTGTTTCGAGGCAAATTTTACAAAAAAGCTTAGGGCCCCTCGGCGGGGACCAAAAAAAAAAAAAAAAAAAAGGTGGGCTTCAATTCGAGATGGGCTTCTTCTCGAGGTTAAGCCAATTGGCTTCAATTCGAGGTTTCCGGTTTTAATGCAAACTTTGGATGTGGGCTTCTTTTCTAGATGGGCTTCTTTTCAAGATGGGCTTCCTTTCGAGGCTACTTTTTCAAAGTAAAGAGGGGGGGGGGCTTCTTTTCAAACAGAATGTTGTAAATTTTGTGAATAAGGCCACTGTAATATCAATCTGTATCATGGAGTGGATTTAACTGGCATTAAATCACCTAAACTACTGTATAAACCACGCTTGATTTAAATTTATTTTGTTTTTTGAAACCAAGAGTGAAATTTGTTGAGAAAAGATTATCAAGGAAATAATGATTTTTTAGATCTGGTGAACCATTGGAGAATTTTTCCCAATATTCATGTAAATTATTTTTAAAAGAGCAATTTTAATTCCATGGATGGTCTTAGCCTTAATATATTTTAAAATTGTAGGCATTCTTATAGAAAGTGTTCTATACTTTCCACAGAGTTGCAGTTACATAATTTGCAAAAACATGTACATCCATCATACCAAGTACTTTTCCTACCTTCTAAAGCTAAACAATTAGACCTTGCTTTAAACTTAAGACTGATTCCTTTGAAGTCAGTTTATCTTATAGATATGTTTCAAAAAAGGGTTTGTTTTTAGATCTGAGATATTCATTTAAAGTTGATTTCTTACATTGCTCTTTCAAACCATTTATTAACATCATTGTTTCTGCAATTTATGAGTTTAAAATCAGATGAAAGGTAAATTGATTGTTTTACACAAACTTCATGGTTTAAGGGCCTAAGTCATGTTTCGAAAGAAGCTTCTTAATGAAGTTTAACCATTTCCATTTCATTTTATTTTCATTATGCATAATTGCTTTCAAGAGTAATCGGGGCCACCTGTTATCGTCTAAATTTTTCAACCGGTTGGAATATTTAATTTGAAAATTATTGTGTATACTGGCAATTGTGTACCTTCCTAGATCTCCATATAATGCTGCTTTAGCTACATATCTAGGTGCTCTTAAAATTATCCTTGCCATTTCATATTGAAGGTTTTCAATTTTGTCGGTTGAGGAATTACAGCCACTAAGCCAAACGGAGCAACCATAATTGATGGTAGGTAGACCGATTACTCTCCAAAGCAATTCACCAAAATAAACTCTGTTAAAGTTGTCCTGATTATAGATAATTGCTTTATAATGCTATTATCCTATTACCTTTTCTTAAAACCTCTTCTATGTGTCGTGAGTCGGTGTTAGTGTTAGAGATATAAATTCCAAGATATTTATAGCAGTCAGTTTCTGTAATAAAATTGTTACCTAATTTCCATTTTCTATATTTATTTACAAGTTGTCATGTAATTAGAACATTGGATTTATTGTAATTGTTTCCATTTACTTGGAATTCACTTGGTGATTTAGATCTCTTTCGTCTTCACCGACTAACACTACATCAACAGCCCAAAATAAGGCTCCAATTTTAACATTAAATATAATAACTCCAAGGTTACTGTTTATCATTATTTGTAATTCATTAATGAAAATTGAAAACCAAAAAGGTGACGAGGGGCGGATCCAGCCTGCCAGAAAAGGGGAGGGGGTGGGCGCAATCTGCGAGCAGCCTTAGGCTGGGGGCACAGGGCCGCTTAGGGCCCCTCGGCGGGGACCAGGGACAGAGGCCCTGGTGGGGTGGGGGCGAAGCCTCCTTGAAGCCCAGCACATTTGAGGAATATGAGGTTGTATTGAGTCGATTTTGACTATCTAGCATGGTAGTTTTCAGTAACGAATAAATTTTTTAAAATAGGTGTATGTCTTAAAAGAAATTTTAATATACAGGATACCTGCAATATGCAAACTATGAAATATGTCATTAAAATTAAAATCTACTCACAGCTGTGGGTTTTAGTGCCTCTTCTACGAACATCTCAAACATAATCTTTGACAACATGCAAAGGTACACCATTTCAAAAGAGAAATTTCACTTCTAGAAAACATGATGAAGTTTCTCAGCAACATCGAGAAAAAGGAAAACTAATATCCAAAATCCGTTAAAAAAAAGTCGTCAAACAACAAAATCCCCTTCTGTATATTAACATTAAGTAAATTACTAGTGTTCTATTTCTCATTTGTGAATTTTCTTTCCTTTAGTTAATCCAGTGTCAATTTTTTATAAGTAAAAATAAAAAAATTGACACTGGATTAACTAAAGGAAAGAAAATTCACAAATAATGTACTGAATCCAGAATGAATTTATTTCCTATGTTCTATTTCTCACCAAGTGGATTTATGAATAGCATTCCCCTAGGGTGTTTTTTGTATGGAATTTCTATATCTTGAAAATTAACTTTACCTTGTACATTTTCATACAAATTCTTAATACAGGTAATTTGAAGTAAATTTCCTTTAACCCCAATATTACTAACAGCTGAAAATAACCCTTTTCTCCAAACAGTGTCAAATGCTTTTTTTAAATCTAAAAATGCAAGAAATGTTTTTTTTTTTTTTTTTTTTTTTTGCCTTCTGATTGTCGTGTGCTAATGACACTTTAAAGTGTGAAAATATGATCTTCACATCTCCTATCCTCTCTAAAACCGCCTTGCACTTCACTTCAAATGTTAAACTCTTCTAAGAAATCTGGCACCGTTTAGGGGATAATGCGGTTGCATACCTTCTTTTGGAGGCTATTTTTGCAAACTAAAGAGGGGGCTTCAATTCGAGATGGGAAGCCCATTGGGATTCAATTCGAGGTTTTACGGTACCGTAGTTGTTATTATATCATGCTTACGTTTTGGTGTAAATGAAATCAATATGATATCAGCCACTACTGATTTTATTTGAACGACCTACCGATATATCGACTGATTGATTGATTGATTAATTCAACAGTTTTTTTTAATTAAAAAGTTAATATTCGTTGAAAAGATTGACTGTTCCATTCATTGACTGGACCAGCTCTCCCCGATGGGGGTGAGGGCCTGTCCTCCCCCGGCCCTCCGCTGGCGCCACCCCGCTATTTCTCTCCAAAGTGAAAGCACTTTACGAGCACAGCAAGCAGCTAGCTCATTGCTGACCTTGTAGAGCCCACAAATGTAAAAATCTACCACAAATGTAAAAATAACCGCAAATGTCAAAGTAACCGCAAATGTCATAACAAAACATTTCACAAAAAAGTACCAAAAAAAAAAAAATCGATTTTTACCTCAAATGTCATAACATGTCACCCGCGAATGTAAAATTCATTGTAAGATAAGATGTTCCTAAATTCTTAAAATATTGAAAAACCCCCATTTGCATTCTTCTTAATTACCCCGAGCTTTGTGAGGGCATCAAGAACCCATGCCATATGAAAACAAGGAATGCAACGAATGTCCATTCTCCTCCTCAGAGGTTTGCCAGTGTTAAGTTTTTTTTATTGAATGGAGTTGTCATATTAAATGTTAGGAAAAATCGTAAACTAATTTATTATTTTATATATTTAATTTATTCTTATGTATTGGCATTCTAGAGGGCAGTTCACGGTGAACCGTTGATATAGTATGTAGGCTTATATTTCCGTAATTGAGTTGAGTTATTGATGTCCAGTGGAAGACTAACTTGTAATTTAAACAAAAAAAAATTCCTTTGATTATAATAATAAATATGCATTGTTGTAGACAGTTGATATTGAGGAAAACAAGAGGAAAGAGGAGTAATTTATGTAAGGGAAAGTTAGAACCACTCCTTTGGAACACTCCTATTCATGAAGGGGACACTTTTTTTTGGTCCCGAAGATGTCCCCTTAATAGAGGTTCTACTGCATAGGCCTACTATTTTGCCTATACCATCTATAGTGGCGCCGATAATTCGCTATTATTGAATGAAAAAAAGCATTGCAAATTCGTCATGGAAATGACTATTGTTCACTCGCTGGTGGCGATGTTTGAAAAATAGATTTAGAATTCCTAGGAACTCTAAATAGATTATAAGAAATTACATCATGGAATCCACGGTAGATGATTGGGTGTTGTGTGAAGATGCAGTGGCGTAATTGACCAATCGTCAAAGCCAACATTTGTCACAACTGATGAACATAATCATAGTACAGTTTGTAATAAAAACCGCCGCACTATCTAATGAACATATTTGCAGCCGATTTCTTTTTACCAAGTTGCGCTTAGCTGAGTTTATACAAAGAAATACAAAATCGTATCATCGTTGTTTTATTGAGCCACGAACGAGAGCAAAATGGCTAGCGTGGAATCGAAACGATGTCACTACCCAGCGTGTTTGTACACCAGCAAGTGTCAACGACTTGGGCAGTTTATGAAGAACAATTTAATGGTCATACTTCTCATTAGCTCTCTTGTATTGGCGGTTATAGTTGGTGCAATTGTAAAAGTCGGCACCGGTAAAGTTTATACCGATCGAGAAATTGACCTCATAAGCTACCCTGGTACTTTGTTTCTCAATGCATTGATGATGTTGATTATTCCACTGCTTACTTCGAGTCTTATAACGGGCATGGCATCCCTGGATCAAAAATCATCTGGAAGGCAAGTACCTACTTATCTTTAAAGAGTGTAACCGAGTATTTTAGTAGGATAGGTCAAGGTTAATATAGGCAGTGCCAAGTAATAAGCCTATTCAGGTGACAGGAGTTGCGCCAGGATTTTCCCAACGTGGGGGCTGTCTCTTATACACATCTAGATGTGTTCCCCGACGAGAACGTAAGGTGGGCGTGGTCGGCGGTATGTGCTCAAAATCACTTGTGAAAGTGATCTATGGAAATCCCGTTGACCCCTGAAAACTAATGGTTTCAATTGCCTATTTAATCGATTTTAGAGTTTAGTGTAAAAAAAAATAAATTATAAGTCTTTCTTTTCCAGAGGGGGTGGGGAGGGGCAGCTTGCCCTAACAGAACCGTTGGACCCGTCTTCTCCACCGCGGCACCCATAATATGTATTTTTTAGACAAAGGGTCTACATTTATATTTGCTTAAGCATAGAGAGGTGTGTAACACCCTCCCCTGACTTTTTCCGATTACATCATGGGGTGGTGATCAAGGGTAGGAAACATAAACTTTTTAGGCATGATCGAAAATAGTTCGCTTTTACAAAATAAATATCTTAGTTTTTACTATAAAATATAGGAATTTATATTAAATTTATAGTATTGTATGCTGTGCTTCAAATTTGTTTGGTTAGTCTGTGAATTAACTTTTTAAATGATTTGTGTTTTGTAAAGTTTTGATGTTTGCTTCATGGGTCCATTTGCCAGGGTAGCCTGTCACTGTGTTTGGCTGATAGGTACAACCCATGAAATTGGGAAAAAATTAGGTCAGCAAAAATTTGCTGACCTTAAATTCACTGAAGTCGGCAATCTCAGCAATTTTTTACTGCATAGTCCTATAGTATAAACTATGATTTTTCCGAATGCTTGACTTTACATCGTCATCTGCAGATCGTGATTTTGTAATCTCTAATAAAATAATATTGTCCCAGCCCACGAAACCAGGGGCGGATCCAGAGATGTCCAAAAGGGGGGGGGGCGCGATCGAGACAACAATGTCTAGGGGGTCCAGGGGCATGCCCCCGCGAAATTTTTGTGTTCTAGACGCCCGAAAATAACATTTGAGGCGTTGTGGACTATCATTTTTTTCTTTTTCTTTCTTTTTTCCTTTTTTTTCTTACAAAAGGTGGGGGCCTGGGCCGGGGCGGCCCCCCTAAATCCGCCCCTGGAAACGACTAGGTGGCAAGAAGATAAAACGATTATACAGACATCATACGTATGCCTATTAAAAATAATTATTGTACAAACAAACCTGTTTTGCGAACGACCAATTTCCTTGGTTTTGACGATGTACGTAAAAATTTGGTTTCTGCTATGGTCTGTTTCTGTCAAAGTTTTGACTTGCCCAAGCAGTTTTGAAGCAAAGAAATCCAGACCTAGGTAGGCAATAATTTGCCGTTCTGTAGCAATTATGGCCCGACAATATGGTCGGCATATCTAGGAGATATATTAAGGGGAATGTTCCCCGTGACCCCCCTGAAAAGGCCACCACTGAGAAGGGGTATTTTTTTGGCTGTCTTGTTTTTTTAAATGTTGGTATGTACACAAAATCTGATTTAATTTTACTGTGATATCTCCTTGCACTGGAGGATAAATGGTGGTAATATAAAACTATAGTGACAAAGGACACTTGAATTAATTCAATAAAAAAATAAATACACTAAACAATTAAAACAAATTAAATTATTGACAATTAAAAGATGTCTCTGATGGGACATCTGCCAAAAATCATACAGTGAAAAATGATTTCATTGTTAAAACAAACTGGAAACCATAAAAATTGGAAACTGAAATATTGCTATGCTTGGCTTAATGGATATTGTGCGATTTTAAATTGTGCTAATACATTGTTCATAACTGTAATTACCACATATGGACATTTAGAGTGAAAAGGACACAGGGGACGGTCTATGAATAATTTCAGTAAATTTTATTCATCTCTACATTAAAACTACGAGTAGATTTGAGCCTAAAGTGATGGATAGGCCTAAGCCTGTTCTTATTTGTTATCCAATATGAACTACACAAATGGAAGAAATACTGATGCCTCTATATTTCACTTTTTTATTGATAAGGCGAGACATTTTTTTAATACCTTGCTCAGCAAACTTATTTTGGAAAGAAAAAAAAATAAAAATAACATTTTGATTTCTTTTAGCAAAATTTTGGAAAAAGCATATGGCAGAGGAAAACAAAAATAGTGTGTTTTTTTTTTGTTTTTTTTTTATTGTAAACTTAGTTGGAGTTAGACACAGAGTTTTAAGATAAGATAAGATAAACCTTATTGCTCCAAAATAGGAAATTCAGTAATCGCATTAATATATATAATTTACAGTAAAAATATGAAAACAATGATCAAATGCAGAAAATATAATAAGATAGATATCAAACAACAATTAACACTATTTTTTATTGAGAAAATGTGTCACAAACTCTTTTGGGTTGGGGTATGGCAGTGAGTAATGGTTGGGTTTACAGAATTTTTTTTTTTTTTTTTTTGGTATGTACAATGTTCTATCACTTATTTAGCTCAGGGTAAAATGATAGTGGCATCTAATCTTTTAATTTGGTTTTAACATTACATCCCATCTCCTAAAATATGGCTTATCACTCAAATTTACCACAAGTCATTATTAAAAAAATTCTGAGTGTTGCAAAACTCTTCCTGACAAAAAAAAAAAAATTTCCCGAAAAAAAAAAAAAAAAAAAAAAAAAATTAGAATCCTGAAATAACTGAAGCTTGCTGTACTAGGAATATAATGTACCAAGAAATGTTTTTTTTGTCCTAGATTCTGGTGCATAGTCACATTCCACTGTGTGGGATGATGGGGTGTGCCAAACCCACCCATCCCTCTTGGAAAGTTAAAAAAAAAAAATTGTTGATCACCTAAAACACCCCAGAGGTTCTTTCCGGACCCTTTCTCTCCCCCCCCCCCCCCAGGCTTGTGTTGTCCCCCTCGATTGGCCCCCAACATTCGGACATCTTTGGATCTGCCCGCCCCTGGAGGTGCTCCGTAGTCCCATTTGCTAACTGGTACTGTAGAGCAAATATTCTCTATGTTGGTACTGATATACTGTAGGCATTAATAATGCACCTCGTCCTTGAGGTTATAAAATACTGTATAGTGCTTTTTCATGGTCATTGGTCCACATGCTTTGTAGTGTTACTGCTGGTAATCAGCGCAGGAGCAGGCAACCCCACCAGATACCCACACTCCTGTGTAGAGAGAAAAAAAAATGCAGTGAAAGTTATTTGCTCAGGACACAAGTGGAATGCAGAGGGATTGAAACCCCCTGACGTCATGGTCGGGCAAGCAAACCGTTCCCGCTACACAAAACCGCTTGCAGCATCCAAATCAAAGATAGATAGAGATATTTCAACTCTACAGATTGTACCAGGCAGAGTTGAAATATCATTGATCAAACAGATATTTCAACTCTGCCTAGTGCAATCTCTAGTAATGGGAAGTCTCTCATTACGTATCATGTGCATTTAAAATTTCAAATTAAACCGTTGGGATTTCATTTTTTTGCTGTGCATTCTTTTTAAGCAAACCAGCACTTTATTTGCAAGGCGTTTTAAACTAATTGCGGAGCACTTCCACAAATGCATCACAATATAATGCAATGCAATATTTGCCTAGAATTACCGGCTCAGTCTTCAGCAAAGCCTGGCTGTAAAACTATTGAGGCTTTGGTGTACAAAAAAATTCAGACCTGCCAACTCGCCCGAACCTGTCGGTGTCAACCGATATTTAAAAAAATCTCCATTTCTCTTGATCGAACGTAATTTTCACCCAATTTCAACGATTTTACAGGTCCCCCTCAAAATGCTTTGATTTATGCATAAATTTGATTGATTTGAACGTTATTATTCAATGTATGCCTTGCCTGCTTGCTTCATCACATGGTAAACAAGCTACCATTTTCAATTCGAACGTCACCACCAAAGGCCAACTTCGTGGGCACGTTGCAGGCATGGAATTGAGGACAACAAAAAATTAGTGTCTGTTTTAGAATCTTGCATTATCTTCTGGTTATTTTCCTGGAAACCTCCACTGTGAATTTCTTATTGAAAAGTGTCCTTTCATCTCTTTAATAATCATTCATTATTTAAACCGCAGAAAAAATTGCTACACACAATTTTGGAATTGCTACACAAAACATAAAGCATAGTGCATAGCACTTTTGCTACACACAATGGAAATCTGAAAATTTTCTATAGTGCCTGATCCTGTGCTGATTACAGCAGCAACATTCAGGCATGTGGACCCAATCCCCAGGGACAAAACTGCTTTGTATTTGAAAAGAAAGGAACTACAGTGTACTGATATACAGTATACTAGAAATTGCAAATTGCAAGTGAAGTGCTGTGAAGTACAACTGCATATAAATGTTCTTCGTACAAAATTATTTATGCGAGTCAAGAGAAAATAATGAATAATAAAACTATAACAAATAATATGAGACACGACCCATTGTCTATATTAGAACACTTCTCATTGGGTAACAAAGTCGTAATTTTTCATTTTTGTCAAAAAGTGTCTATAGTGTGGTGAATTATGGTTTAGGTTTTTTTAAGTTTCAAAAATTTCTATGTATGTGGAAAATGTAGTTGATTACTAAAGGTTACAATTTTTATTTTGAAGACTGCATGGTCTAGGAAGTGTACATTTTTTATGGGGCAAGTTTCCAAGGGCGGGTTTTCTAGGGGCGAGTTGACTGCCAAAGAGTGTTGCCAAAGTGCGAGCCAGCGTGTTATTTGATCACAAGTGCGAGACATATCACAAGTGTGAGCCAGCGAGCCATGACGTCACGACAATAGATAACAACTATAGGTCTATTAATGAATTATTGTGATGTTGAATAGACAATGTTAGCTATCAAAGAGCGACGTTGTTTTTCATTGAGACCTAGGCTAAGCCTATACCATCCTAGCTTGTCTAGGCCTAGAGTAGGATAAGGCTAGCGCGACATGCGGACGTTGATACAAGTAGGTTAGTCTACAAACGTCGCCTAAAGTAATTGATTTTACCCGGCAGAACGAAAGAAGGAAACTCCGCTATTCAGTCGTCTTAGGCGCTCGTTTTTTGACAAACAATGACCTTTCAGAGGTCAAATTGCTGTCAAGAATATGAATTGGCTGCTTCGCAGCAATGATTAAATAAAGTAAAAAAATAGATGAAAAACATGCATCAAAGTGTTAAAATTATTTTAAAAAGAAATATGTAGTGTCATTTGTGCCGAGATGAAATTTATTTGATTATTATTGTGCATCATGAAAGTGATGAATTAAAATCTTTAATTAATGGACTTATAGCAATTTTCACCTGATGTTTTTGGACATGTTTTTCTCAAGTTGGTGAATAATATAACATTCACAAGTGATAAACCATACGTATTTCGTATAAAATTTATTTTCAGACAATTTATTTTATCTATATTAAGGATTCCGAATAATTTGCAAGTGAGTTTCATATTTCAAACAAGCAAAAATAAACTGAATTCTCTGAATACCCAAATCTACATAAATCGGAAATTAACACACATAGGAAGAAATCATATACCTAATAACAATTTTGATATGCTGTAGAACCAATTTTTCTAAGATACAATAAATCTGTTTAACAAAAATGGTATAGAACAGAATTTTAAATATTTTAAAACTGGGGGTAAAGGTAAAAAATGACTGGTTACACCCCTTTACCCCCAGATTTTAAATATTCAAAAAACTTTTATCTCATTAACCATTCCCGAGTTTTTCGTTAAAAACCCATTCTTAGCCAAACAGTACAAAAAAATTGTAATACTAATAAAATTTGATATTAATATTTTAGGCCAAATAAAATTAGTTGCTAGTTTCATATTGCCACCCTAATCATATTTTGGAGCCTCATGAATAAAATTACTATTTGCTATTTTTCAAAAAAAACATTCATTTTTCCATGGACAATAAAAATAATGACTGTTTGAAAGAATGTCAAGCATATGTAATTTTATTTGGCCGTAACTACTTTTGTATGTATTCCTTCAATTAATTTCAAATATTTACTTTATATACAGTCTTGGAAAGAAGGCTATTGTGTATTACCTAACAACCAGCGTGACGGCCGCAATAATAGGTATTGTTTTGGTCGTGTCTATTAAACCGGGCAGAGTCGGGAAGGAAGATGTTGAACGGGATGAGTTAGAAGGAACTAAAGAAGTTGATGCTGCTGATACTATCATGGATCTCATTAGGTATGTGCAGGCCTTTACACAGGTTTTATATTAGCTGAGGGGTGGGGTGTGAAGACATTGTTGCATATGATATCAACAGGGGAGTTTGGAGGGATCATGCACACCCCCGAAAGAAGCATGCACCTGTCCCCAGGCAAAATAATCATCAACCACCCTTTGCACTCCTTGTTTTGCAGTGGCGGATCTGGGGTTGGGGGGTGAATAGGGTGGGTGGCTATCCACCCCCCCCCCCCCAATTTGTGTACCTTGAAAAAAAGTGGTCATTCGTCTTGTGTGTGCGCTTCTCGTGTCGTACACATTATGTGTAGTAGGTACTTTCCATTTTAAGCTTTTACTTCTTTTCAAATTCCATCTAAGAACATGCTGTCTAATAAATACAAGAAAATCTCAAATGTGAGGAATACCCCTCCGAAACTACCCCCACTCAGTGATTCTCAACTCCCACTATCCTCCAATTGCTAAATCTTATTAGATCCACTACTCGTGTGGTTATGTAAACTATTTTATGGTTTTAGATTGGATGTTGAAAGTCATGCTTTTATTTAGACTGCAATGCAATCACAATGACTTTATTTGGAGGGAAAATTAAATTCAAGTATAAAAAAAAAGTAGTTTCATGTCCGAATATTTTGAAAAAAAAGAGAATGAGGGCATATTTTTTTCTTTTTTTTTAACTCTTGAGATGGCAAATCCAACGGAAACGGCTAACTTTTCTCACATTTACCAAGTAGACACATTGAAAGCAAATAAAAGAAGTACTAGACATGATTCATACCATTGTGTTACCACTGATAACACAAGCCAGATATTAAGGAAATTAAAAATTTTAAAAAATTGCTAAAGCAGAGAAATTGATGCGCGAGGGGACGAGAAGTTAGTAATTATTTTTATTTGGTGTAATATCTTTCAGTCCAACAACCTCAGGTGGTGTTGGACAACAAGGAGTACCTGTATTGTGCCTATTGTTTATATCCGACAAGTTGGCATTTCCTGTGGCAGATCCAGAAGTTTTGAAATAGAAGGGAGCCCATAGAGAGATTTTCAGAGATGGAGAGTCTATACTACTCTACCTCTGCCCCAACCATGGTTGAGGCTGAGGTAAGAAAATTTATGATAATATGGCTACCTCTAGATGGCCGTAAATGGTGCTCTAGAATTTTAGTAGATTTTTTTTTTTCTTAATTTTTTTTTTTTTATTTAAAAAAATTTATTGGGCGGGGGGAGGGGGTGGCAACCGTCTGGGCCTTCCTTAAATCCGCCACTGATTCCCTCTCCTGCTTGTGGCAGTTTCTACAATGGATAGAATTTTGTTTGATTTACAGTGCTGTATATGGTGAATTTATAACAGGAAATGATATACAGTACTTCGCCACAGGGACCAGGGATGCTTTTGGCAGCCCTGGTATCCAGTGACAACTACAGATTTAATAGAAACAGCTGATCAAGTAAGATGGTAGTATCATGTTACACAAGCCTCTCTTCCTTCCAGGGATCCCACTTTATAATGTGGGTCAAACCAGGTATCAGTAATTTAGTAATATACTTCATGTTCGTGATTGATCCATAATTCTCTTGTTTACTTTGTGTGAACTTGTAAGTAAAATCCATATTTCAAGCAACCTCAGAGCTAGTACTGATAATAAAATAAGGTAAATTTTCTGCCGATTAATATAAATATCTTGCTTCAAGCAATTGGGTATCCATTTGTGGCAAAGACAAGCCAAACCAGTCACTCGTCGCAAATCGTGTTACAGAGAAAATGGCCAAAACATGCTGGAATGTCAAATTTTTAAAAATCTATTTTATTGCACTAAACTAAACTTTATATATCTACATCATTCTATGCTATTATTTTCCCATTTTCAATGTTAAAACAACACTTTTTAAGGATTTAAAGATAGTTTCTGCATGAAAAATGCCTAAAATCATAAACTTTGAAGGCTGATTTCTCATATATTGTTCTTTAAACAGCTGTGTGATTAAACGATTGTAACTTCATAAGGAAATGTCCGATTTGAATGATTTTTTTACCATTTTATAGCTATTATTTTACTCTCTAACACTGTATTAATAACTGAAAATCGATTTTTGCGACGAGTGACTGGTTTGGCTTGTCTTTGCCACATTTGTAGAAGTATGATGAAGATAGTGTCTTTAGGACATACATCCGATTTTAAATTGACAGGTTGAAATTATGCTAATTATAGGCACAATGTATGGTATACTTGGACCAGCCTAGAAAATGTGTGTAATTTTTTAGATTGACATATATAAAAAAATTATCACTAATTAAGAATTCAAAGGAAGAATAGGAAAGAAATTTGGAGCAGTTTATAATTATATACCGAAAGTTACTGTATAACCGGACTCCGATATTTGACGTACAGATGATTCATGAAAATTAGCATATATGAAAATTATTGCCATCGAAAATATCCATGAAAAGGTAAAACATAAATCTAAATCCAGTATACTTTTATAAATTGACTGATTTTTATAAAGACTGTTAGATTTTAATAAAATGATTTAATACTTACCCCACCCATCATGTCATTGATCCCTCATGCTTTATACCAGCTCCTGCGCTGACTACCAGCAGCAACACTTAGCATGTGGACCCAAAGACCAGCCTTTTAACCTGTCTCTTATACACATCTAGATGTGTATAAGAGACAGATCCATAATTCTCTTGTTTACTTTGTGTGAACTTGTAAGTAAAATATTTCAAGCAACCTCAGAGCTAGTACTGATAATAAAATAAGGTAAATTTTCTGCCGATTAATATAAATATCTTGCTTCAAGCAATTGGGTATCCATTTGTGGCAAAGACAAGCCAAACCAGTCACTCGTCGCAAATCGTGTTACAGAGAAAATGGCCAAAACATGCTGGAATGTCAAATTTTTAAAAATCTATTTTATTGCACTAAACTAAACTTTATATATCTACATCATTCTATGCTATTATTTTCCCATTTTCAATGTTAAAACAACACTTTTTAAGGATTTAAAGATAGTTTCTGCATGAAAAATGCCTAAAATCATAAACTTTGAAGGCTGATTTCTCATATATTGTTCTTTAAACAGCTGTGTGATTAAACGATTGTAACTTCATAAGGAAATGTCCGATTTGAATGATTTTTTTACCATTTTATAGCTATTATTTTACTCTCTAACACTGTATTAATAACTGAAAATCGATTTTTGCGACGAGTGACTGGTTTGGCTTGTCTTTGCCACATTTGTAGAAGTATGATGAAGATAGTGTCTTTAGGACATACATCCGATTTTAAATTGACAGGTTGAAATTATGCTAATTATAGGCACAATGTATGATATACTTGGACCAGCCTAGAAAATGTGTGTAATTTTTTAGATTGACATATATAAAAAAATTATCACTAATTAAGAATTCAAAGGAAGAATAGGAAAGAAATTTGGACCAGCTTATAATTATATACCGAAAGTTACTGTAAACCGGACTCCGATATTTTACGTACAGATGATGCATGAAAATTAGCATATATGAAAATTATTGCCATCGAAAATATCCCTGAAAAGGTAAAACATAAATCTAAATCCAGCATACTTTTATAAATTGACTGATTTTTATAAATACTTAGATTTTAATAAAATGATTTAATACCTACCCCACCCATCATGTCATTGATCCCTCATGGTTTATGCTGATTACCAGCAGCAACACTTAGCATGTGGACCCAAAAGACCAGGGAAAAGAACTGCGCTTATAAACGCAAGGAAGAGATGCATTATAAATGCCAATTAGTAGGCCAGAGGTGACTACACTTTCTTTTTTATATCGGAACACTGAGGCTGAATTTGCTTAAAAATTAAGAACAAAATACACTGTAGAACAAAATATCCAATGAGATTTTTATTTTAAAAAACTAGAAAAACCAACAATTATATCTGTACCTTAATATGTGCAGTTTATGTGACTATGTAATACCCTCTATAATACAGTACAGTAGGTGTACCTACCTAGTCATTTGGGGCCATTTTTACCGGGGCCTTTTTTCTGGGGACATATTTCAGGGGCCTTTTTTTTTCAGGTGGTTTGTGAAAAAATTGTGAATGCAGAACTAATAATTTAAAGAACATGGATACAGATATGATACATGGATGCAACCCACTTCCCATCTTGTATTGTGGGAGTGTGCGTCCATATCCCCGATTGACCCCCCTTCCCCAAGCTACACCCTTGGGAGTGCTGTAGCCAAATTCTCCAGTTATCAGTTTGTACTAGTTGGGGTGAGAGAAGCTATGCAAGTAAATGTCTCATTTCAAAGATACAGCATTGATTTTAAACTACGACCTTGAAATTATATTACCTTGATGTGCAGAAATAAAATTTTGCCTTCTGGGTCAAACTGCTAGATAATTTTTTTTGCATTTTTTTTTAATCCTTTGTAGTGTACCATATTGTGTTCGATGATCATCAAACTAATTGTCACACATCTGCAAAAACTTGTATTTTCAGGAAATGGGGATTATTGTTTACTTGGCGCTGATAAAATTTATGAACTTTTCTGCTGTTGTTATTCCAATTTACAACCACAGTTTAGAAATAGATTTTGGGCTAGTTCAGACTAGGTGGATAAACCCGGCTCAACTCACCGGGTTTATCCACCTGCCAGTCTGAACTAGGTGACTGATCTCAAGCCGAGCCGTGTTCCTCTAGTAACGGCCTGGCGTGCCACCATGTTTAACTTTTCTAATTGGGCTTTAATCGGGGGTCTTGCATTGACTTCAGGTAACAAAATGACCAATCAGCATTCAATTACTTGCGCTGTGAGCGAGCATACGTTTCACGAGCAATGTTTTGAAACACGTTTGATGGTTACGGTTCATTGTGAAAATTCTCGCGCCTGGCTAATCCCGCTAGTCTGAACGCCTGCCAAAGTTAAGCCGAGCTTAGCGTTAAGCCGGGCTTAAATCAAGCCTGGCTTAATTATCTCCTGTCTGAACGTAGCCTTTAATATGAAACTTTATTTAAAATTTATTAATCACCTACCCAGGAGCTTTGTATTATTATAGCATTACAGTATTTTTCATTATCAATTTATAGGATTATAAAGTACATAGTTTATATTATTATTATTTAATATTAATTTGGGTAGGGGCATAGACAACCATACGTCAGCATATTGCTAGGGTATGAAAAGGAGAAGGTTGACAAAAATCTTTTATCTTGAAGGTCTTGAACACTGCTGCAGTAGATATCTAAATATATAAACTTATTGTTAGTTTAATGGTAGCCAGAAAAAACACTCAATGACACTCCTTTTAACTATGTTTACAGTAGTTCATTTGAATAGCTTTAATAAAATGAAAACTCATTTAGATGGTGAATAGGCTATGAGGAATTGGGCCCTAAAATATTAGTTTTTTCCCCTATCTAGGCTGGAATAGTGATGAGAGAGGGAGGTTTACACTCCTTTTTTAAAACTATGTTCTAAGTTCATTTCAATAGCTTTAATAAAATGAAAACATTCATTTAGATGGTGAATAGGCTATGAGGAATTGGGCCCCATAAAAAATATTAGTTTTTCACCCTTCCCTAGGCTGGAAAAATGATGAGGGAAGGAGATTTTTTTTTTCTTCTTTTTTTTTTCAATTATTTTGCTTAAAGCCAAATATCACCCTTGGGTTTGCTGGTACATTGATATTCAAAGTAACACATGATTGAGAATGCAAATAATATCTACTAACTATTTAATTTAAACAAATTTAAAAAATAATAATTACAAAAAAAACAATTTTTTAAAAATATATATAAATTTTTTTTTTTCAGTACCGAATGTGATAAACGAGTAACTTTTTTTTATTTGGTCTATAGTACCATATGCTGTAGATGTAGGAAAATGGCCTTGGTAGTGTATAATTGTTAATGCATGACTAAATCCCTATTCCAATGAAAACTTTATGGGTTTTTTTTTTTTTTCTAGTATTTTTACCCATAGTAATAGAACAAAGTTGGAGGGGGGAAGGGGGCAGGGGAAGATGCATCCACCATGGCCACCCTGCTTGAGAACTATATTTTACAGATATACCCTTCCCACTTAATAGTAGAAGTACCATTTATTTAAAATTTTATTTCAAATCATCATCCAACAGCGAAACGACAATCAAAAACATTGCCTTTACTTTTAAGTTACCGTATTTATTTAAATAAACTCCCCGTTTGAATGAATTTGACCTCGAAAAAGGCGTCCCCCTCCCTAACCTCTAATAAACGCCCATCTCAAGAACTCATTTGGAATAAACCCCCCCCCCAAATAAAAATTTTCCCCCCCCCCCAAATGAATGTAAACAAATCTACTAGAAGCAACATCATTTTCAACACATCTATTAATGTGAAGTTTATTTGACATACGTATCCATTTTACACAAAAAAAAATTTATCGTCTCCCCCCCCCCCCCCCCCCCAAACAAAAAAC